CTCCCCCCACCCATCCCATCCCATCCCATCCACTCAACCATTCAGCCACGACTCCACGTCGACCCGGGCGTTTTATCGTCCTTTTAATATGCGCGGCGATAAATAGACTGGGGGACTGCGTGACTCCTCGTGCGCTATCCAAACGAGGTGATATCCGCTCGTATTGCCAATGCGGGTTGGAAAAGCCGAGGCGACATTAGGCGAGGACGGAATCGTGCCTCTTCAATCCCCGGGGTAGATTGCGCCCGGGACACTCCGGGCCAACGGGGAGGAGGACGGGGTTGCGTGCGAACCTACTTGTCCATTATCACGCATATAAATAATATTTTACTATCGACGCTATCGAATGTTAGGCAGCAGCAACGAGTCTATGGAGAGGATATTGAGATCGCGATAAGCCGCGCCCTCACTTTTTTTTTACATCCCGACGGCTTAAATATCGTTGGCGTCCTGCTTTTATCGTTACAATGGTTCCACTTTTAAAGCGGCCGCTTCACTTACAATGGAACATTGGCGACATTAGTTATCCAAAATATTGTCGCAAGCTCATCCAAAGCTTCATCCAATTCACGTAAGCCGAGACGATCGATCGATCGAGACGGTCGAAGATCTAATACTACTTTATCCGCCCTAACCTCTGCCCGCACATTCAATATTATCGTCCTCCCCCCTCCCGCAACCACCACCACCGCCACCACCACCACCACCACCACCACCACCACCACCACCACCCAAATACCCAGTCTCATTAAAGCATAACTACGTGCGCGTGTTCGTTCGTTCGTTTGTCCGTTTACTTGTTCGTTTGTTTGTTTACTTGTTTGTGGGTGTACGCACATATGCATATGCATATGCATATCGAAGGCAAATGAAAGCAAAAAGGAAGGAGTGAACGGTTGATTTATGTAAGGCAAGAGGCACACGCGCGCAAACGAGTTTCATACCTTATAAAGATAAAAAAAAAAAAAGAAAAAAAAGAACAAAATAAAAAAGGAAAAAAAGTGAAATTCGCTTAACTATTATGTGCCTGTTATGTTGATAATGTCGCATTTGCATTGGCACTTCTTTTATTCATGGCTATGCTTTCATTATGGGAATGACGCGAAAAATCCTTAGGGGAAAATTGTCTCGGTTAAAGAAAAGTGTTTTTCAAAATGTTGTTCAAATATCAACGTACGTCAATTTTACGTCAGTCTTAAGTGACGGCGATCAGTCGGCCTCTCATATCTCGTGACACTTTATTTAGTACACCGAAATGTAAAAATTACTGGGTTGACTTATTAATTATACGGTACATCCGTCCTCGGGACTAATTGAAATTTCCACGCTTCTCCACACAACAATGCATCGTAGCATTAACGATTATAAGGAAAATAATAGGATAACGCCGTTTACGTTGACAGACCCAAGCGACGGTTAAAGCTTTATCACGTAGGGAACTGTTTACGTTATCTTGCGGACACCTTAATAATACCCTGATGGAGCAGCATCGTAGATTATTAATATGCGATTTTTCAAAGGACGCGATCGTCACGCTAATGACGTAAGGAGTAGAGTAATTTTTCCATGTCAATGCTAATGCGGCGAGTCAGGCGTATCGTATCGGTCAGTGTGCAAACAAACAGAGTCCCATGCACGACGCTTAGCTTACGAATACTTTTGAAGCGACAAGAGCCGCTCTAAAGGCCCGAAGCTTATTCTCGAAATAACGGCGAGACGTTAATTTGACGATTGGACGATCGGAGGTTCGGAGGATTGGAGAATTGGTGGTGGGTTGGGGAGGGGGAGGGGGCCAGGGCAGGCTTGCGATGAAGTCAAGTCCTAAGGGTAGCGAGAGGCTGGGAGCGAACGGTAATGATCGGCAGAGCCTCGGGGTCTAACGCGACGGTCGGCCTCGGTCAACTACAACGTCATTAACGGAAGCGTGACAATCGGAGCAAAGAAGATGAGCAGGTACGCAGTAGCTCGGTACGTGGTCAAACAATGCTCGGTGCTCGGGGACAAACGAGGGCGGACTTTGCCGAAGGGGCAGACGAAGGAGAGAAATTTCCCCGGTCGCGGTGCGACAAACGAAGCCGCGACGTCATTAGCCGAATGACGCTCCCAGCCGCTCCAGCCTTAATAAGCGTAAGCGATCCAACCGCAGAAGAGGATCCTGGCGGTGCGTCTGGGCGGCGGTGTCGTTAGCCGCGAGCGTGGCTGCTGACCCACGGCCGAGGCGGCCTTGAAGCGCTAATCGAAAGGAAAAACCGCAGCCTTTCTCGAGCGCGACTTTGTGTGCCGCTCTCTGGATCTCCTGCCCCTTGGTGGGGACGTGAACACGTAGAGACAGAGAGACAGAGAGAGACAGAGAGACAGAGAGAGACAGAGAGACAGAGAGAGACAGAGAGACAGAGAGAGACAGAGAGACAGAGAGAGACAGAGAGACAGAGAGAGACAGAGAGACAGAGAGAGACAGAGAGACAGAGAGAGACAGAGAGACAGAGAGAGACAGAGAGACAGAGAGAGACAGAGAGACAGAGAGAGACAGAGAGACAGAGAGAGACAGAGAGACAGAGAGAGACAGAGAGACAGAGAGAGACAGAGAGACAGAGAGAGACAGAGAGACAGAGAGAGACAGAGAGACAGAGAGAGACAGAGAGACAGAGAGAGACAGAGAGACAGAGAGAGACAGAGAGACAGAGAGAGACAGAGAGACAGAGAGAGACAGAGAGACAGAGAGAGACAGAGAGACAGAGAGAGACAGAGAGACAGAGAGAGACAGAGAGACAGAGAGAGACAGAGAGACAGAGAGAGACAGAGAGACAGAGAGAGACAGAGAGACAGAGAGAGACAGAGAGACAGAGAGAGACAGAGAGACAGAGAGAGAGAGAGAGAGTGAGTGAGAGAGAGAAAGAGAGACAGAGAGTGAAAGAGAGACAGAGAGTGAAAGAGAGACAGAGAGTGAAAGAGAGACAGAGAGTGAAAGAGAGACAGAGAGTGAAAGAGAGACAGAGAGTGAAAGAGAGACAGAGAGTGAAAGAGAGACAGAGAGTGAAAGAGAGGCAGAGAGTGAGAGTGAGTGATACAGAGTCACGACTGACGACCCGACGGTGATGACGGGTTGGCTGGAGGGATGAGGGGACTTATTAGTCGTGGCGCGTGCGTGCTTGCGTGCGCCGACCGTCCGTATCGTTTTTTATCCCTCCGAGCTCCCGGAAGGCGCGGCATCATTTTCATTTGACCGCGAATCTATAAGGCCGACTCGGGGCCACTGGCCACCGCTCGGATAAGCTTTGGGACTTTCAGCTAATGTTGCCCCCCGACGCCCTCCCATCCAAACATCCACCGCTCCGCATAACCTGCTTTTTTAATTGGCTCATTTTTTATGATTCGCATGCAAAGATCGCCGAGATAAGTGCCGAGTCGCGTGCTTAACGTACAATTTGCATGGAGGCATATGCCGTACGGTGCGCGTACCGCTTACATTAATGCAACGTCTCGTAATTTATGTAAGTGCGCGCGCGCGCGCGCGGCCACCGCTCGATGACTTTATTACCGGCCTTTACTATCGACTATCGACTATCGACATATAAATCAATTTCAATTTGACCAATGCCGAGCATTTACCGACAACTCCCGACATGGGCTGGAAAGCTGCCGAGTAATCGTCCCGCTCGCCAAGACCCTCGTACCCACGGCGAAGAAGCTGAAAAATCCGCGCTCATCCATTTGTCCTCGTAGCCGGGCTGATGCCGATGGTGGAGATGACCGGCTAAGGCGAAGATAAAAGATGCGCGTCATCGTGACAGCCCACTACGGGGACACGCGGCTAATCGATCTATCGGCTATGTGAGCCCCCGTTGCATTGACAATGGGCTTCGTTTGGCAGGTAAGTCGTTAAACGAATGCAGCAGCTTTAAATCCAAATATCTCGGCTAGTCGTTTGTAACTTGACGTTCCGATAACAGCTCTTTAGCGTCCTCGGCCGTTTCATAAAACTTTTATTTCCTTTATTATGCTCAATTATAGATTTATGCGAGCTGAACTTATCGGCCGCAAAGTCAAAACCTCGGCGAGCGATTTATTTGCCCGTCGTTTGTGCACTCGGGGGAGGAGCGATTATTGATTCGTCGATGATTTTTGCCGTCGTTACGTGTATATCGTTACGGCACAAGCTCGGCCGTAGGCCCTGCGCGGATGGGCCCAATGGACTTATCACCCTCAATACGCCTAGTCTGCCTAGCTTATTGCGAGTTTAATTAGGTAAGCCTCGATAAGCTCTTGCCGCCCCCCCCCACCCCGCCACAGCCATGCATGCCATACTTACACGGCATCACGATTTTTTCCCATTCCTCAACCTAGATAAAAATGGCGATTCCCTCGCGTACGTCTAACATTTGGCTCGCCTTCATTTGGCAACATTCCAGCGTAGTCTTCGTAAATTTTTCAAAATCCATTTTCCAAAGCGTTATTACCGGCATATTCGCGACTGCCTCGTAATAATTTTATCCGCCCACCTCACCCCGCATTGTCCTAACGCCGTTTCTGCATTCTCCCTCTTATTTTTCATCTATCTTCTCTCCTCCTATTCTACCTTCCTTCCTTCCTTCCTTCCTTCCTTCCTTCCTTCCTTCCTTCCTTCATCGTTTCCTTCCTCTCCTCTCTCATTCCTCTTCGTCTTCTTTATTTGGCAAGGCTCGCTAGTGCGTAAAATGGCTCGATGCTGCGTGCTGAATCATCGGCCGTAAATGATACACGCCGGGGTCAAGACAGCGGAAAGAGGACTAAATAAAGTTATTGAAACAAAATAAGCACGTGCTCGATCTCGGCGAGGATTCTTCGTTAATCTCAAGGCCACGGTAAGGCGATAAGAGGCACGGGGCCCAGCAACGGCGGCTCAAAACTTCAGAATCAAATGCCTACGACCTAGGGCTTTCGTCGACTGGGCATTCCGCGAAAGTCACTGCCTGTGAATTTGTCGAGGTCCTCCGCGAGGAAGCTCCTCTATTTCACTAACGCGCAAGACGAAAGGAGTCGAAAGGAGTCGAGATGAGTCGAGAGGAGGCGAAAGGATGCGAAAGAAGGCGAAAGGATGCTGACCCGACCACGGAAGTGTCCTTTACCTCTGGCGGTCTCCCGTCCACGGTTGACCGATTTCATGCCCCGGGCCACGCGTATTCGAATTTCCTCGAGCTCCCCCCCCCCTCTCTCTCTCTCCCGTTGACGAAAGGTACGAGCACGCCAGGGGCGAGGAGATTGAGCTGGGAGCTCGCATTCCCCTGCTCAGCCTCCGGGCCCCGCGTCGCGCCTCGGGTCCATTGTCATGTTACCCGTGGACAGGCCTGCTCGAGCCTGACCCCGGAGCGAGCGGGAACGGAGCAGGTAGCGGGCCCGGCAGCTGGGCCGCACCCCCCGGCTTCTCGCTTTTCCCTCTCACGCTCGCTCGCTTTGCCATTTCGCGCCGAATCCCCCCTTAAAAAACACGGCGAGAAAATGTCGCCTCGAGCGGCCTTGTCCCCGGTGTCGCGTTTTCCAGTTGGTTATCGGGCGTTACGCAACCAATGCCGCAACCAACTCGGAACAGGACCCTCCCCACCCCCCACCCCCTCTTATCTTATCATCACTCCTTCTTTTCATCTTTCCCGGCGCCTTTTTCTCGTCTTAACGAGTTTGCGATGCTGCCTCGTGGCCGGCGCCTAGGACGCGAAAGAGGCGGAGTGAGGCAGGACGGGTGGGGCAGGTCGTGTAAATGGATATTCGTGCGCGGCTCCGGCGATCGCGCCTCCGACGTCGATTTCTTTCTTTTTCCGCCTCGCTTCCTCTGGCCCGCGAGCCGACGTCGACCCAGCTCCGACCGCTCCCATTATTCTCCAGTTGCGATATTACGCACGAAACACCGTAATCGCGAATTAGAAGGGAAGCGGCCCTCCTCGGCTCGTCTCCGATTTCTCGATTTCTTCCGGGGCTAGGAGTCGAGAATCCGACGTCGTGTCGATGACCTCCCACCTCCATGCAGTAGCCGACGATGTATCGTCTAGGATCATCGTACCAGCTAGCGCCGAGTTTCAACTGGGTGGACGGACGGACGGACGCACGCGATCTACGGGGCGCAAGTGAACGCACAAGAGATTCTTCTTGCCGTCAATAAGGACGCGCGTCCACGTTACGATGGACATCGGAGATCGGAGATCGGCTCACCTGTACGCGAACGATTGTCTTCTATTCCCGTCGATCAGGCTAATCCCACGGGAACATCCCGACGTCCAAAAGACGTCCAACCTTACAGGAAATAGCCCCTAGGGCATAAATCCCTTCGATGGCGGTCGCTTTTGTCGAATCCTCCTCCCATGCCGCGCCACACGCATCATTGTGCGGCTTCAGTCGCACATTCGCTCCGGTCGGGCGTCACGAGCAATTTGCCGGAGTTGTACGAGGGCGCGCACGCGCGCGCGAGGGGAGATAGGTGGATGAGAACCACGTGGACGTGCGAGAGAGTATCGAAAGTGCCGCTGGTGGTGGTCGTGCTGGTGGTCGTGATGGTGGTGGTGGTGGTGATGCAGAGGTAAGGAGCCACGTTTAGCGCTTCGGCGTTACGATGAACGTGGGAAACGGGGATGGGGCTCGTTAATGAGAGAATCTGCTCAGGAGAGTCGCTGTCACTCGCGTCGCTGCATTGTTTTGATGGAATCGGTCGGGAGGTCGACTGAAGAGTTATCTGCGAGCGGTTTGTTCATCGATCGATCATTGGTACGATGTGGTGGCCGGTGGTCACTTTCCGAGCTGGAAAGCCAAGTGAAACTGGGCGACGGGCGCGCTGTTGGAGTCGAGTTACGGGCGTTGCGAGAGGTCAATAAGGTCTTTGCAAGTAACGATGTTACGATATGAGGATTTTATGACGATTTGCCGGCGATCGATCCACTCGCTTAAACAAGACCGCTACCGATGAAAGCAATAACCGCGAGGTCGCATCGCCGCCGCCTTGGGAAAGCCGGAAAGGGACGCGTCGTAAAAGCGAAGCCCTGACTGCCGTCGCTGTCGCCGCTGCCGCTGCCACCGCCGCCGCCACCGCCGCCGTCGCCTTTGCCGCTGGCTCCTTCTCTATCCATTCATCCGTCCCCCCGTCCACCCCGGCCGTCCCACGGAGTTCCACCCGACCCATCGGCGGTGGTAACGGTGGCGGTGGCAGTGGCGGTGGTGGTGGTGGTTGGGCGGGGGCGGGGCGGTGGCGGTGGCGGTGGCGGTGGCGGTGACGGTGGCGGTGACGGTGGCGGTGGCGGTGGCGGTGGCGGCAGCAGCGGCGATAGCGGCGGCGTCGCTCGGCTGGCGGCCGGAGGGGAGTTGGCGTCTCAATCAGGCGAAGAGTCCGGGGTGCCCGTGCGTCCCCCTCCTCCAGGAGCAGCGGCCGCCGTAACTCGACGAGGAGGGGGCGACGAGGGAAGCCGGCCCCGGCCAGCCGTCACAACTCAATCTAGTCCCTCGGAGGCTGCGCGCCCGCCAACACGGACATCGGAGCACGCACTCGCCTTGAGGAATCCGCGCCACGGACACTCGTTCCGAAGAGAAATATATATATATATATATATATATATATATATATATATAGAGAGAGAGAGAGAGAGAGAGAGAGAGAGAGAGAGAGAGAGAGTGATATAGCAAGAGCGGCGGTGGCTGCGGCAAAAAAGACGAAGAGTTTAACTACGCGCTGTGGAGTTAGGATACGTGGCGGGGGCGGAAGGAGCATCTCGTGACGACGCTCCTGCCCCGGGCCTTGGGACAATGTGATTAAACGTGCCCGAGGCGAGACACTCGGAACAAACAAGGTAACGCAATCCGTCCTGACACCGGTATTTTTCTTCCGCTTCCTAATTCCTTCTGCTTTCTTGGTAACCGCTTGGATGGACTTTAATTGGCGCTGTCGAATGTAAAAACTCACCGGGGAATGTGGTGCGCCTTACGCCTTCCCGTCCTCCTTTCGTCCCAAGTTCTCCCTGGACCCGCTCGACCGACCCAATCCCACTCCCAGAATGTCAAGTCGCTCGCGGGCCGCGGCGTCCCATCAGCATCTCTCCTTCGCTACGCTTTTTCCCCACGGCGAGGATGATGTTTGTTTGCGCGACGACGCATCGGCATATTTTCGCGAGGCTAATGGCTCCCGACACCACGGCTAAATAGGTACCCTCGATCCTCTCACCGGGGCAAACATCGCCGACGACACTGTCGGCCCGTACCATTTTTTCTCTATATCGCGTCTATCCCGTCGATCCTCTTCCACGACGCATGATGCATCAACGCGGGCTCGACGTCGTTTTTTATTGTTTTTTCTTTTTTTTTCTATAGCGCCGATATTGCACTATCTCAGCCGGAGGCTGGATGATTTTTCGATTGACATTTGGTCCATTAGGGCCGTTATAAAGTCCCGTGCTTACCATTGTCCCGCGGTCTAATATCGTGCCGCCTCGTCTAATCGGTAAAACGATAGAAGCATCTTGTTTCGCGTGAGCAATATCCCCTTAATGCAATGGACTTTCTGCACTGAGTAGCTGTACCAAACCATTGTCATTTGCCTCTCATAAATATTTTAATTGGCCGCGCCAATATGGTGGGAGCTGGTCGTGTGCTTGTAGCAAGCAATCCAGCTAATGAAAGCAGCTGTGCCGTTAATGAGCGAAGTAAGTGACTCGAGCGACGCTCATCAAATGTTTACATAGTTTAAAGAGATGGTTGTGCACGTGAGACGTTGACGTTCGTAAAGTGATGCGAGATCCTGTTTGAATGATGGTGTAATCGTATAAGGAAGGCAAGAGAGCCGTAGTCCCGTGTCATTGAATTTTCATTGTACGAGGAATGTAATTGTCGGGGAATTGCGCGGCGTTGGTGGCGCAAAATATTCGCAGTGAACGTAGTACTCAGCGGTACCATTGTTTCCATTGCCCTTGTTCTTACGCGCGAATGCAAATTTTGTGCCGTGCATTGAAACAACCACGACAATGACAACAATAGCAGCGTCAGCAAAAGCATCAAAATAACAAAAACAAAAATAAACGTTAGATATAGAGATAGAGATATAGATAGAGTGAGATCGTGCCCGCGCGCGCGCGCGCGCGCGTATGTGTGTGCGCGTGTGCGCGTGCGCGTGTGCGTGTGCGCGTGTGTGCGTGTGTGTGCGTGTGTGTGCGCGTGTGTGAATTATTATAGGGCAGAGTATGTAATAAATGCGCGGCGTAATTTCACCAGCCTGACACTGACTTTTATGCATAATTTGCCGAAGAACGGCCGGTGACTTCCGCTCCACCGCTTGTCTTATAGGTAAATATTAGCCGCGCGCATTCTATAACGCTTTGAGGCACTAAATGCGCATCTCTATTTTTAAACATCCCAAAGTAATAAGCGCGGAGTGAGCGAGCGAGTGCGTTACCAAAGACTCGCTGAGCTCGTAACCTTTAGCCGACGTGGCAGCGTAACGCAAAATCCTTTCATCCGATACTCCTCACAAATCATTTTCAGCCGACGACGTGGCGCGCTTAAGACGTGAATTAATGAAAATTTATTAGCTTCCGTGGCATCGGCCGACAGGACGATCGGCGCCCTCTTGTTTCATCCCATAACCAGCCTTTATAGTCACTGTGCGTGGCTGTGCGTGGGCGCGCGCGCCACCATTTGGATTCGTCAATTTTTTTAATTTGATCCTCTTGGACGCGAGGGTCGAGTGAGCTAGGGAACAGGGATACGGCCCCTCGAAATCGAGGTGAATAAAAAAAAAAAAAAAAAAAAAAAAAAAAAAAAAAAAAAAGAAGAAGAAGAAGAAGAAGAAAAGAAAAAGCCTTTTTTAAGCCTTGAGCTTCCTCTAAGCGCTCGAGTGTCCTTGGCGGGTGTAGGCCCCGTTGGGGATAACCGCTGGCCGGGCTAATGCATAGTCATTGCCGTGGTCAAAATTTGTTTGCGTCGCTTAGTCGCAAGGACGAATGGAGCATTGTCATGGTTGTGTGAAATATCGATGGGCTGTTGGGGAAGGGGAAGGGGAAGGGGAAGGGGGGG